GAGCAGGCACACCCGTAACAAGCTCAGGCTGCTCAGACCCCCGTCCAACCTGGCCTTGAATGCTTCCAGGGATGGGGCCTCCACTACCTCTCTGGGCAACCCCTTCCAGTGTTTCACCACCCTCATTGTAAAGAATTTCTTCCTTATATCTAGTCTAACCCTACCCTGGTTTAGTTTAAAACCATTACCCCTTGTCCTGACACAGCTGGCCCTACTAGAAAGATTTTCCCCATCTTTCCTATAGGCTCCCTTTGAGACCAGAAAATTACCAGCAATTATGTTAGAGGATGTCCTGGGGTCTGTACGTAAATTCTTCTGCATTTGATTACAATATTTGGGTATTTGAACCCTCTGAGATATCCCCACTCTGGATGCTGCTCTGAAGTTCTCCCCGGGGACGGTCGGGCAGCGGTGGATGGCTGAAGGGGGGAGATGAGCACACGCAGCGCAGGCGTAATCTGCGGGGCCATCCTCCGCCAGGCCGGCGATAACAATTGAAGCAAGAGAAGGTGTTGCTGAGGGGAGAGACTTGTCTGCGGGTGATTAAAGAGCAGTCGTATTATCACGGCAGAGCATTCCTTGCACACCAGCACTGGGCAGCTACGTTAAAATTTCCCAGTGTCTCTGCTTCAAAAAAGAATTGTACTTTCTTAAATAATAAATTACAGATGTATTTGTCATCTCCAGCTCTTGGAGGCTGGAGTTTATTTAAAGCAAAGTGTTGCAAGCTGGTAGGAAATTAAAGAATAAAGCCAGGACTTAGAGCCCGCTTTTAAGATTTCCCAAAATGAATACACCCAAAATTTTCAGAGTTAGAACAGACATATGTGCCACCTTATCCACGGGAATTCCCTTTGAGGGGGAAGCAGTCCTCATGGAGAATACAAGCCCATGGGGAAAGTTATCCCTGATCTCACCAGAGGTGTCATTCAATCGGTCACTGGATTTTACGGTCAGGGCTGCTTTTATAACGAGCAAACAGGGCTGTTGCTCGCTTCTGCCTTTTAAAATGAGAAATTCTGGCAGCCTGCTTTTGGAACAAGATTAAAAAAGACCTATGTTAGTCCTAAAAAACATCTTTGGTGTCACCTTTGGTGACATTTCACAGGTTTGTGACAAAGATTCATCATCTGCCCAAGGGTGGACATTCTGCTGCGGGTCTGTGAATCGTAACCATGAGAAGCAGCAGCAAGGGAGGAAGGCAGGTCTGGTGGGGTTTCAGAAAGGGCATGGCTTCGGCATCGTCCCATGACCAGGGGAACACCAGCAATCATGTTGTATAGCTCCTTGCTCTGCTCAGGCCAGGACCTCCATGTCCCACCACCCAGCAGACAGCTGGAGCACTGGGATGGAGGAACTTGGCTGTGCGGTCCACGTGAGGACAGAGACGGTCACTCTCCGCGTCACCTTGTGGCACATGGCTGAGGATCACGCTTCTCCCACCAGCCATGTTCCTGAGGAGTTCCCGCAGCCGTCCCCAGCGCAGCCCTGACCCTGGGCAAGCGGTCGGCTCCTTCCAGCAAACCACTGTCATATTTGGCTGCTCTGGCTTTTGTGACAGCGCAAGAGTAACTCTCAGAAAATGAATTCAAATTCCATAAAGATTTCAGAGATGGTGAACCCTCCTGTGCAGGCATCGCTCTGATCCTCACATCTACCTCAATCCTACAGTCATGGAGGATCAACGTTCAGGTTAGAGAGTGGGCAGCAGAATAGGAAGGAGTCCCTGGGTATATCTGGGTGTCAGTCGCTTCCCTCACGCGTTGATTGAGTGCCCTCTGATTAAAAGCACTCTCACTGAGGAGAGCTCGGAGCACAGCCGTGCGGCAGGCAGTGTAAGAGGAGGCACTTTGGGAAGGAGACAAAAAAATGTATGTTTTTTCAAATGCATGTAGCAAGGGCTGATGAATACAGCCTCCCTTGAATACCTCCATCCATTTAAGCTGCACAAACTGAATATCGCAGGACCGCTGCCCGTGCCAGCAGGGGCCCTTTGAACGGGAGACTGCTCCATGCCACATCTCTGTAGCCAGAGTCAGCTCCAGGTTTTCAGTGGACATTTACAAAAATGATCCGAGGGCTGGAGCCCCTCTCCTATGAGGACAGGCTGAGGGAGTTGGGCTTGTTCAGCCTGGAGAAGAGAAGGCTGCAGGGAGACCTGATTACGGCCTTTCAATACCTAAAGGGAGCCCATAGGAAAGATGGGGAAAATCTTTCTAGTAGGGCCAGCTGTGACAAGACCAGGGGTAATGGTTTTAAACTAAACCAGGGGAGGTTTAGACTAGATATAAGGAAGAAATTCTTTACAATGAGGGTGGTGAAACACTGGAAGGGGTTGCCCAGAGAGGTAGTGGAGGCCCCATCCCTGGAAGCATTCAGGGCCAGGTTGGACGGGGCTGTGAGCAACCTGATCTGGTTAGCGGTGTCCCTGCTCCTGCAGGGGGGTTGGACTGGGTGACCTCTAGGGGTCCCTTCCAACCCAAAACATTCTATGATTCTATGTATGGCATTTATCAAAGGGAGGATATACAAAGAGCACTCTGATAATCATAGAATCATAGAATGTTTTGGGTTGGAAGGGACCCCCAGAGGTCACCACAGAGGTGAGGCTGACAGGTCGGTAGTTCCCAGGGTCTTCCTTCTTATCACAAAGCGATCGTCTTCACTGGGTCTCAAGGATCCCCTCTTGCATCCCCTCTTAAAGTGGGGTACTGAGAGAAGCGCCTTACCCAGCCAGAGGGCAGAAGGGCTGGGGAGGGAGCTGCAGTACTGAACACCATCTTAAATTAAATCCCAGGTGAGGTGCTGGCCTCCGCCAGCAGGGATGATGATACAACATCACCGAACCCAGCCAGGCTCGCAGACCAAGAAGCCTCAGGTGCTTTGCGCCCGCCCGTTGGGAAAGCCCAAGGTTTCTCCTGCTTCACGTGACAGCTCACATGCAGAGAGGCTTCAATCCAGAGCCTGGCGCAAAGCACAAGAGGTGGGTTGGGGCTCTTCTGTGAGTGCTGCTGCAGCCCCCAGGACACTGGGGACACCGGAGGATATGGCAGCAGCTGTCTGACCCCCTCTCTACTGCTTCTCTAGCACCACTGGTTCATTCCCACCTGACCCCAGGACACGTTGGCAGAGCCACAGCCCCAGGAGAGTGGGGTCTATTTGTAGTGAATGTATCAACGCCTCCAAGCTGTAGAGTATACCCAGAGAGGAGAGACCTATCCCCATGTGAAGGCACAGAAGAAACCGCCACCATAAGTACAGCACATGTGGGAGCCGAGCTCCCACCCAAACCCAACAGCCACTGGAGGTCAGGTTCCCCTGCCCAGCAGCACAGCGCAGCCACACCACGGCTCCCAGGAGAGGCTCCAGGTTTGGTGCATGCTCCTGTGTGACATTTAGCGGGGCTGGGTGGTGTGATTGCACTGCTCCTTTGGTACAGATAACCCAAGGCTGGACATACTCCAATGCACGCATGACCCAACTATCATTAGATCCCTAGGAGTGTTTTCCTCTTAGCAGGACGACCATGTCTGGGGAGCATCCTCTGTAGCTGTCAGTAGCATTGCTGTGAAACAGAGACACATCTTGGCAAGGGATCTGGCTTATACATATCAACCTTCTCAGCACAAGCGCGCGAGGCTATTTGGGCAGAGAACACTGTCTGACCTCTCTGACGGTACCAGCCAGCGTGCCGTGCACGGCTGCCGATGCTCGGTGGCCGTGTGTACGGCTGCTGTAGTTTATCAGGGTGGCAGAGAGATTTACCCCTGCTTCACGTGCTGGCAGGATATTCATTCCCTGAGGTTCAGCGGCAACCATCTCCAGTAGGGTATTTCTTTGACACTTTGCCCACTTATCTGTGGTTACAGACCTGTGCTGGGCTTCCCTTTGCTTGCTTGGTCCTTCACCCATCAAGTGTGCCTGTGCCCTGCAGCTACAAGCCATCTATTGTGGGACCAGGCTTCCCTGTGCATGTCCAGCATGCAGCACCACGCACGCCAGCACTGGCTGTGGTGCTGAGGGCTATTTTACAGTGCAAGGGATAATTACCAGTAAGAATCAGGGAACTAGAAATCAAAGACATACAGTAGGAGGCATTTAGGGATGAAAAAGAAAAAGCCAGACTGGGCTTTCACACACACACAGACATGCTTTTTTCTAGGACCATACTCAATTTCATGAGCTCCCTCTCCCTGTTCCCACAGGAATCATTATGACCAGTGCTGTTATAAGCAATATCAATTGCAGAGCACATCCCTAATTCTTTGCAAGAGGTTGGCAAAGTGAAACCCTGGTAGCGCTGAAGGAAATGGCAAAATCCCCACTGATTCCCACAAGGTCAGGGTCTCACTCCCTCTCTGAATTTTACTGCGCGTCTCCCAGCCTGCCCCCAGCACTACTTAGGAATCATTTTATATGAAATTTTGGGCCACGTGGCAGCCACATACGCTGGAAGTGTACAATATGCCACAGAAAGGCCCAGAGTCTTGTGTTCACATAGCAAGGGAGGAAAATGTGGATTTTTCTCCAAGCTCCTTAGCATGCTTGAAGTCCCTATGCTCCTCAGCTTAAAGATGTGTCCTAACACTCCGACGCTGGAATTTTCCAGCATTATCTCTCTGTTCATGTATCAATACGTGTCCAGACAATTTCTTCGCAGCCACACGGCCATTACGTTAAGAAGCAAGAAGCTGATAATGCCAGCAAGCCAGGAGGCCAGTGCGCTGACCCTTGCCGAAATAGGCATTGCTTCACGGGGAGATAAGAGCCTCCCACCTCCATGGGTGGGCCTCTGGAGTGACCAATGAGCGTGGACAGGCGCCAAGGTCCGGTATCCCCTTCCCCTTTATAATCAGGGCTTCCAGGGCCATGAGTCCAAACCTGCTCTGAGTGTTCATTGCAAGGAGCCTGAGCCTGCACCCTCCTGCACCATGACGCTGACTCAAGCTGATAAGGCCGCCGTGGTCACCATCTGGACAAAGGTGTCTACCCAAGCCGATGCCATCGGGGCAGAATCGCTGGAGAGGTAAGTCCCCCAGAATGGCTCCGAAGAGGGTGCCTCCTCTGGCTTTGCTGTTAGGATGCATTTCTTGTAGCACTTGCATGCGTAAGAGCACGCTGGGACTGGCGAGAGTTGACGATTACCTCTACGTTGTTTGGTACTTCATTTTCTGGAGTTCTACCTGTCCTACTAAATGCTAATAGGTGGCCTCAAACCATAACTTTCTAAGCAATTCTAATGGTCTATTTCCCATTATAGCAATTCAGAAGAATTCATAGCCAGGAGCCCTGGGGAGGAATTCAAAGTCATTCCTACTCAGTGTCCTGAAATGGGGCTATCGCTGTTAGGAAATGAACTTGAAGTGGTTTATTGTACGAGTGAAGCGGTTGCTGTAGAAGTGATGCAATTTCTCCTGCAATTTCGAGGCACAAAGAGAATAGCTGTCCCCTAAATTCCCTGGATATTCATGTTTCATTGTTCCGGCTGATAAATCGCAAACCGTTAGGAAACAAGACAACCAGCCCCCCTGCAAGTATAGCACAGGAATACAACGTTCATACAAATTAAGCGAGCTGGCACAAAAGGGATAACAGTCTGGAAATTGTCCCGAAATTATGATGTTATTCAAAGTTATTTAAATGTAATTTACAGCTCAGGATTAAGTATTGCGATACTCCTTCCAGGACTCTGAGTACCGCTCGTATCGATTCTGGTTCGCTCAGCTCGTGTTAGTTTAAGATCCTGCAAACTGGCTTACAATGTAATGTAGGAAATGTAGTGACAATTTGAGGTTATTTTTGATTTTAAGATACCCTCAAAAAATACATTAAGTTTTAAATTGGTTTTAACATTTCATTCCTCTCTAGTAGGTACAGATTAGCTCACTGTCTAATCGGCACGTACTGCAGAAGAGGTTTAAGAGCAGAAAGACCTTCCTGGTCCCAAAGCTTCAGGATCCCAGAGCTCAATTAGAACCATAACTTCCATCGTGGGCAGGTTTACACGGCGCTTGCTCTGAGGTTTTACCATCTCGTGCATGTCCCTTCCCCTGCTGAATCTCATTCTCGTGTTCTCCTCCAGGCTTTTCTCCAGCTACCCCCAGACGAAAACCTACTTCCCCCACTTTGACCTCAGCCAAGGCTCAGCTCAGCTTCGTGGCCATGGCTCCAAGGTCATGAATGCCATCGGGGAAGCCGTGAAGCACATTGATGACATTAGAGGTGCTTTGGCCAAACTCAGCGAGCTGCATGCTTACATCCTCAGGGTGGACCCCGTCAACTTCAAGGTGAGTCAGACATTCAGAGATGAAAACTGCCATCACAAAATTAGTGACCACGGATCGTTTTGGCTAACGGCAGCTTGATCCCTGGCTGCACTGCACAGCCTTGTCAATTCATGTCGCTGCTTGTTTCCCACCTGATTTTTTAACCTGAGATTGGATCTTTTCTTGAAAGACTCGGTCTGGCTCAAGCAAAGAACTACTCAGGGGGCTCCCATGGTCTGTGTTAGACAGGCTCGAGTCTCTGCTGCCTTTCTTGTAATGTATGAACCTTGTGAGGTCAAATTATATCACCTGTCTTGAACAAAGTAAATTCTAAACATTTCCACTTTGTTGCATTTCCCTCTGGGGAGCAAGGAAGGGCCATTTGGAAAAAGGGGTTGTAGCAAGCATTGCCTTTTGCCCTATACCAAAGGCAGCTCTGCTTCTTCACACGCAGCATCAGGCAGCAGCGTTACCTGCTTGGGACACGTAGTCGTGATCTCAGTGCACACGCTGGGACCAAGGTCCGTTGCAGACCTCTAGGCTGACATCTGTTATTGGCTGCGATGGATCTAACCCCGTTTTCCCTTACAGCTGCTTTCCCACTGTATCCTGTGCTCCGTGGCTGCCCGCTATCCCAGTGACTTCACCCCAGAGGTTCATGCTGCGTGGGACAAGTTCCTGTCCAGTGTTTCCTCTGTTCTGACTGAGAAGTACAGATAAATGGCCTCCACGAAGGGTGAGGGACACGCATCTGTGGTGCGCCCCGGCTGCCAGGCTTTGGGGTGTGCACCCCTTCCTATGCAGTCCTCTCAAATCCCCTCTGCAGGGGCTCGCTCCTCTGCAAAACCCAATAAATAATTCAAATGTGAACTCTGGTCTCTGTGCTTTCATCTCCATGCGTTCCATCTACACCTTGCTGTTCTGGCAGGGGTGTTCCAAAATGGCTACACAATGGGGAGGGGAAAATACTAAGCTGTGTAAATTAATTCATGTTGTAATTAATTAATGTACCGATTCATGTGCTGAGCTGTGTAAATTCAGTGGGAATAACATGACATGATATTCAGTGGGAATAACATAACACAATATTTGGTGCAATAACAGAACACTGAGCAGAAGCCCAGAACAGGCTAGAGCCCTGTGACTGCTACTGCTCACCAAGGGTAGACCCACCAAAGATTGTTTCCAGGCTGACCAGGAAAGACTCTTTTACCCCACTGGGATATTGAATGGACCCAGATTTTTCATTTGGCCCATCCAAAACCCACCACAGCCTGTTGTGAACAAAACCTGCATTGCCATATCACAGAATCCCAGAATGGCAAGGGTTGGAAGGGACCTCAGGAGATCATCTAGTCCAACCCCCCTGCTCAAGCAGGCTCACCCAGAGCATGTTACACAGATATCGTCCAGGTGGGCTTTGAATATCTCCAGAGAAGGAGACTCCACAGCCCCCTGGGCAGCCTGGGCCAGGGCTCGGGCACCCTCAAAGTAAAGAAGTTTTTCCTCATATTCAACTGAAACCTCTTCTGTTTCAGTTTGTGCCCATTGCCCCTTGTCCTGTCTCTGGGCACCACCGAGAAGAGTCTGGCTCCGTCCTCGTGACCCCCACCCTTGAGATATTTGTACGTGTTGATGAGGTCCCCTCTCAGTCTTCTCTTCTTCAGGCTGAACAAGCCCCTTTGTTGGACGGGGGAGCGGAGACCGGGACACAGTACTCCAGGTGCGGTCTCACCAGGGCAGGGCAGAGGGGGAGGAGAGCCTCCCTCGCCCTGCTGGCCGCACTCCTCTTAATGGACCCCAGGATACCATTGGCCTTCTTGGCAACAAGGGCACCCTGCTGGCTCATGGTCAGCTTGTTGTCCACCAGGACTCCCAGGTCCCTCTTGGCAGAGCTGCTTTCCAGCAGGCCATATGTTGTGATGTGCCCCAAGCGATGCTGGGCATTGTCTTCTCATGCTCCTCTCCATGGGGTATGGACAAGGTATCTGACATTCTTCATGAGCACCTTGGGCTCTCACACCTGTGAGACAGGTTTGGTAAAGGGACCAGCCCCTCAGCTCGACATCTCTCATTTTAACATGGGGAACTTTACATGCATTCAAAATTTGGGAATGCTAGTGGCCACTGGAGATCGGTGTTGATGGCATTTGGGGGATCACAGGTTCACGAGGTTCCTCTGGAAAGCAGTGACGGGGAAGAGTACAGAGCTGACGGTCACCGTGGGGGGAGCACAGGGAAGCTCCGTACGTACCCATGTGGGTTAACTCCGGTGGGCAGCTCAGCACTTACACAGTGGCTCACTCACTCCCCCCTCTCAATGGGATGAGGGGAAGAGGAAAGGAAGAATAAAAGCAAGAAAACTTGGGGCTCAAGATCAAACAAGGAAACAAACAAGCAGAAATAATTGTTTAATAAGTGAAGGATAAGTGGAAGAAGAGGGAAGAACACAAAACAAAACAGGTGATGCAAAGGCAATCACTCACCACCTCTCGTGGGTAGAGTGATGCCTAGCCAGTTCCCGAGCAAAAAGGATGGGTCACCCCCCTAAAACTCCCTAAACCTCCCTCTTTTCCCTTTTATTGCTGAGCATGGCGTTAGATGGTATGAAATACTTTGTCGGTTAGTTGGGGTCATCTGCCCGGTTGTGTCCCATCCCAGCGTATCGTGCACCCCAAAATCTGTTCCCGGGGTGGGGGGCAGCGTGGGAAGCAGAGACAGCCCTGATGCTGTGTAAACGCTGCTCGGCAAAAGCCAGCACCTCCGTGTGTTATCAGAGCTGGCTTGCTCAAAAATCTCAAACACAGCACCATGTGAGCTGCTGTGAAGAAAATTATTTATCAGGTTACACTCACTGCCCCTGCCTGCCTCAGGGGACTTCTGACATAAAAAGGTGGGTGCAAAGTCTTAAGCACACTCTGATCGACAGCCTGAACTGGCACTGCAAGCCGTGGTCCTCATCTCATTTACCAAATTTCAGGATGGGAGATGGGGGAGGGGGCCAAGGGCTGAGGGATGGGGACCGGGACAGCGGGATGGGGGCCGTAGTGGCGGTGCTGAGCCCCATTTTGCCTTGCAGCTACCATCACAGTGCTTCCAGGCGGTGCTGGCCACGCAGCGGGGCAACGACTGCACCCCCGAGGCGCACGGCGCCTTCAACAAGTTCCTGTTGGCCGTGGCCACTGTGCTGGCCGAGAAGCACAGATGAGCCATCACCCATGCCTGGGTGCCATCAATAAAGGCACCTTTGCCACAGCGCTGTGTCCATCTTCACCCGGGCCGAGGGCCGGGGTGGGCTGGGGTGTTGTGATGCCCCCATCGGAGGGAGGGAAGGAGCTGCCGGTGAGGCCAGGCCATGGTACAGGGGGGCAGCACCGGTCATGGGCTCCCTGGGTGCCCCCCAGGGCCCTGCCTGCTTCCACCCCTCCCGAGCCTGGGATGCGGCCAATGCTGGTAGCAGGACCTTGGGAATGGAGCTTCGCCTGTTGCCTCGCCGTGCCTGCAGCTCTCTGGGGATGCGACGGAAGGATGCGCCAAGCCAAATGTGGTTCTTGCATCCCCTTGAAAGATTCTCCGGGGAGGTAGGATTCATCCCCCTTGGCTCCATCTATCAGGATGGTTCTCTAGGACTTTATTGGGGATGCTGTGGGAGGTAAGCGCCTGCGTGAGCTCCACAGACAAGTTCATGGAGTGAAAAAAATCCGCCACAGCCCATTAAGCACAGACAAATGTTCTTGAGCTCAAGCCCCTGAGCCACAAATCCCCATCGACTGCCAGGGAAGTGCCCCCACACCTACCCTGGCTGTCTGCTTTTCCCTTGCAGCCTGGGCAAGGTGGGAGTGGAGCGGGCAGAGCTGCGGTCCAGCACAGGGCCACTGGTTTCAGGGGTTTGGGAGCCTGAATGAAGAAAAAAAAGAAAAAAATCATTGTCCTTAGATGACAGGTCATGGGTTATAAGATACTAAACTAGCCCTGGGTTCTCTCTGCGTTGTGACACCAGAGGGAGGAGATGAGCCTTCTTGAGGGATAGGAGATGGTCCATCAGGAGAGCGGTGGCCGAGCGCCGGCAGCAGCCAGGCACTGGGCGTGCAGGGACCCTGCCTGCACAGAAACACAGGGCTGGGAGTCCCTGGGCCTGGGAGTCCCCTGCTCCTGCAAGTGCACTCAGGAACCCACAGCGCTTTTCCTCCATCCTCAGACACATCCCAGCCTACATCCCAGTGCCTTCATGCACCTTTTCCACCCATTTATTCTCATGCCACCAGTTTGCAGGGCTCTTCTGCCTTTGCAGTTTGACCCTTGACGCATGCAGAGGCAGCAGACACACCACCCCGCTGCTGTTTCCCTGGGCTCTGCTTCCCAGATCGGCCCCCCCCCCATCCTCCCCTCCTTCCCCGCTCTGAAATGGTGCCAGCTCGAGCTAATCTCCCCCAAACACAAATGATAAGAACCGTCGGCCAGGGAGGAAATAGGGGTGTGAACTGTCCCCTGCCTGCCTGCGCCAGCTCTCGAACCTACTGGAAGCACCACAGGCCCCCTCACCCTCCTCATCTTCCTCACCCTCCTCATCTTCCTTGCCCTTCTTGCCCTTCCTTGCCCTTCCTTGCCCTTCCTTGCCCTCGCCTTCATCATTTGGGGCACGCGGGGCTCGCCATGGGCTGCTGTGGCCCTGTGTGCCTGCCTTCCCCAGCTGTGAGCTCCTGCTGCTGCAAGGCCAGCACTTGCATCGGCGCCCAGCGCTGATCCCCGGGGCTCTGCCGAGTGTCCCCTCTTCCCAGGAGTCAGGGTCACCCAGTCCCCCCGCAGCACTGGGGCCAGCACAGCACAGGCACAGGGGGGCCGGGGCAGGGGAGCTCCGGGGTCTGTACGCAGAGTGATGCCACTGCGGTTCAGGGAACAGGGGCTGAAGAGGGCACAGACTTTGGGGTACACCTGTTTGGGGTGCCCTGAGGGACAGCGTGGGTGAGTGGCTGTGTCTATAGGGGCCGTGTTGGATGGCAAGGTGTGCATAGGGGCAGCGTGTGTGGGTGCAAGGATGGTGTCCGTGTAGCGGCCGTGCTATAGATGGCCGTGCGTGTACCAGGACAGTTCACGTGTGTGCATCAAGGCTGCGCTGGATGGGTCAGTCCATACGTGCAGGTGCCTGCGGGGCCGCCTGTGGGTGTCGGGGACGCTGGGCAGGCTCAGTCTGGTGGGGACAGACTCCCACCAGGCTACTGAAGTTACAAGCCCCGCACTGCTGTCCCCACCATCCTGCCAGGACACATCCAGGCTGCGCCAGAGCTGCCTGCACCAGGGGGACATCAGCCCGTACCCCGCTCTGAGCCCTGAACCCAGCCTGCGCCGGGAGGGGACACACACGGACTCCTCTGCCTGTGCTAGTGCTGACCCTAACCTCAACCCATGCCAGCGCAGACCCTAAACCTAAGCCTAAGCCTAAACCTAAGCCTAACCCTGCAGTCAGCCTGTGCCAGAGGGGACAGACCACCCGGCCTGCACTGATGTGAGCCCTAACCCTAATCCTG